CTCGAGCCCCGCGCAGCCAATCAGCTCCCGGCGGGGCCCGCACCCCGTCCACGTCAGTCAGCCGAGCGGGAGCCAATCGCCTCCCCGCAAGGGGGTTCGGTTACCAGCACGGACGCCACTCACACCCCCCAAAACAAGCCCAAATTCATAAATAAAAGGAGGGGGGCGAGAGGGGCAAGGAAAAAAGGGAAGAGGTGGGGGAGGCGCGGGACGGGCGAAGGCAGCCCGGCGCGAGGGTGCGGAAAGCCGGGCGCCGCGGTCGTACCTGCGAGTCTGAAAGACAGCGAAGACTTTTAAAAACACTTTTCCTAATTCTAAGCAACGGCCCGCGAGACCAGCGGCTCCCCTCCCGAGTCTTGTTCTCCGCAGCCACAGCACAAAGACAGGCCGTTCGCCGACTCGCGGGAGCCGAGAAGGCTGGGGAGGGAGGTCGGCCCCAGATCCCGGGCCAGGCTGGGCCCGCTAGGCGAGGGGCGGCGTCTCCGGAGCTGCTCTCTGCGCTCCAAGTGCAGCCCTTTCCAGGTGGGACCGCGGAGACGGCCCCGATCACGCCGGAGGCCCCCGCGAAATGTCGTTCGTTGTGGCGGGAAATATTGCTCACAACGGTATTAGCATTGGAAGGAAAATTTTTTGTTTGTTTGTTTTTGTTTTTTAATTTTTAAAAATCCCTCCTCGAGCCCCAGTCCAGCCGACAGCGTGCCTGCGTGCGCTTTCACATACACACTGACATGTTTGTGGTGCAGAGAGCCAAAACATTAAAAACACATGTGCACTTACCAGCGTGGCTTATGTAAATACCCAGTCCATCACTCAGGCACACATGCGGCATTCAGGCCCCGTTCAGGAACCTACCGTCAAAACCAAGGGTCTCTGTTAAGGCAGAAGACTAGAGGCTGGTGCCAGCAGGAATACTGAGCTGTCTCACCCGGCCACCAGAAGCAGGAGTCTCCCTGTCACCCTCCACTTCCCATTTCTGGGGATGCTGTGAATGTTTTAAACATTCCCCTTCGAGAGAGGGTCCAGCTCCAGAAAGCTGGTGTGTGACAGTTTCTGATCCCTTGGAGCCCTGAAGGGTGGATGAAGAGAGGCAGAGGATGCCCAGAGCCCTATCCGAGCTGTGCACCCGTGTGGCAAATGGGCAGACCTCAACACTCAGGGCAGACCCCGTAGGAGGCACTGCCTTACCCTACCATTATGTTTGAAAAGCTCTAGGGAAGCTTGCTTTGGACTCTGCAGACCTAATTTCTTGATGGACAGAGTCCAAGTAAAACGACTAGAGTTTGTGAAGCAGCAGGACTATTTTCTTAAAGCAGTTGTGCCCATGCAGAGGTGGTGATCCCACTGTGCACACAATTCGGCAACTTTTTCCTCACTTACAGGCCAATGGAAGGTATTCCAAAGCTAGAGAGGCAGAAAGGGAAAAGAGAAAAGAGAGCAGGACTTTGGATGGCCAAGGGTTAATCTCGAAACAATTGGTAAGGCTTAGCCTAAGCTGGGGAAGACATTCCTCACAGAGAATAGACCGCAGGAGACCAGGCGCTGTGTCTCAATTCAAGGGGCATTTAGAGAAAAATACTGTTTGGTAGGGGGTCCTTTTCTCTCCTGGGCCAGGCCCTCAGCCTCAAGCCAAATGTGACTGTTTACTCACTTGTTGGAAAGACTGTTGCTTGTAGATAACATCCTCTCATCTCTGAACCCAGGCTAGCTGACCCCTCATTCATATTTGCACTCCCCCCCCCCCAATAGTAGGAAGACTTGTGTCTGTCCACCACTAAAACTCTGGAAATTCTCCACCACTAAAACTCTGGAAATTCGTCCAAGTGACTGCACCTTCACTGGCCCTGGAAGTCCCAAGTCGGGAGTCAGTCTCACAGATCCACTTGTGGGAGGCCCTAGTCTGTGTCTGCTCACTCCACATAGACTTTGATCACCTCCAATCACCAACAATCACTCCCCACTTCCAGCAGTCATACTGCTTTAGAGATAAGCTCCCTGGGCCATGCCAGGGACACAATTGTCTCAAGGTCAAATAGGGAATATTGGTGTAAGTAAGACCTGAGAATCCTGAATCCAATACACTTTTGGATCCTCGCAAAGCCCAGTGGAAAGGAAAGACTCTAGGTCTCAGTTCCACCAGTAGACTTTAATCCACACCTCAGATTTGGAAAGGCACTGCTCACTACTGGTCAGTTCATATACTATATAACAGCATCTAGCAGAACGAAGCCTGAAGACTTTGTATTTCAGCAGTATATGCAGTTATTTGTCCTTTTTCTGATTATCAAGGCTTTGTACTTCAAAATCCAGTCCCCCTTTTGATGCTGGCAAAGTACGTACACAGGAGAAAGTTCTGAACAAAGGCTCTATAAACATGCTACGGACAAGACAGAGATCCCAGAAACCAGGGTTCCCGAATATGAGAACTATGGGTCAGGAGGCGCATCCTCCCTTTTTCTTGAATGGTTTAAATAAACAGGTGCAAAATATGGTATTAAACTTACGTTTCTCATTTCAAAAAAGTTCCAATTTTCTCACACTGCCAGATGTTCACATGTGAAAACTGCAAGTCACTTCATAACATCAGCCTGAGGAGGTATTCCTCAGTCTCCCCATGGTGGCCCGAGCTGACTGTAAGGCCACGTGGGGTCACTGAGGGACCCTTCAGGTGTTTACTAGGTGATCTCTTCCCACATGCAGAGCTCCTTCCTGCCCCCTCCAGGAAGATCAGGGAAGGAGGAGCCTTCTCAGCCTGTGGCTGCCATTCTGTTCCGTTATCACATCTTCAGTGACTTTTGTGACACCCTCCAAAGATACATTCAGAACGCTCTCCTTCAGCCAGCAGGAGGGGGGCCCCTGCCAATATCTGGATGATCACGAGTGAGGGACTCTGCAGTTGGGAGACGCAGACCTCAGTTCTGCTCCTGACAGGCTGAGGGACTCCTAAGAAATACATTTCATCTCTTCGGCTTTAGCACTGTCATCTGTGGACAGAGCTATTCATGCCTGTCCCACTAACTCATGAAATAGGGGTGTGAATTCTCAGCATCTAGAGCCTGCAAGGCACATCTCTGGACTTTCAGTTGAGTCTGAAAAGTTTAAAGTGATGTTCGATGCAAGACAGCATGAAACACAGTCATGTTCCTACTTGGACAAACTTCCTTCCCTCTCTGCCTCTGTGGATGTGCAGCCCCAAACTCCTCTGACACTTCCAAGAACTGGCCTGCCCTGTAACTGAGCTTTGGGAACTCCAGGAAGAATTGTAAACATCTGGAGTGGAAGGCAAATCCCAGCCCCAGCTCTTCTCTGTGTAAGCATCCCGCTGCACCATCATTAATGAGGACTAGCAGGCATCCCTTCCTTTCTTTAGGACACATCCACCAAGTTCAGGCAATCCACTAGAATGTTCTTCCTTCCCTGAAGGGAAGTTCTGCTTTCTGTAATGTCTAATCACTAGGCCACCTAACATCATGTACCACCCTAATCATCCAGTATCCTTGAAAAATCACTCTCAACCATGCCTGAACTGAAGGCCATCTCTGCCCCTCGAATCAGATGGCCACACCTACCCACTCTCCAGATGAGACTTTGTCAAATAGGGCTTGACAGTTGTTATTCATGTCTTACTATGTTAATTAGTTTATTTATACATAAGTTATAGAATTGTATACCACATTCTAGAAAGGAGAAAATGAAAAATAAAAGGCATATTTTAAAGGTGACTTTTAAAATGGAAACAAGGATATCTAATTGACTATTTTTCTGATTAAAACCCTCACAGACTCTTTGTCCACAGGAAAAGGCCCAAGTTCTGGTAGGATGTCAAGACCTTGCCCTCAAAAGCCTCTTCGCCTCCACTCCTCTCTCCCCAGTCCAGTCTCCGGTCTCAGGAGGGACTTGTACCTTCACTGACCAGTGACATCTTGCTTGCTTTCCCCCCTGTGCCCCTGCTGTCCACATGTGCTGTTTTCTCTGTCCATAATGCCCTTCATCTCCTTTACACAAACTCCTATTCATAGGGTTCCCAGATTAGCAAATAAAAATACAGGACACCCAGTACAATTCAATTCCAGATAAACAAAAAATAATTTTTTGGTATAAGTATGTCCCAAGTATTACATGAGACATACTTATAACATAAATTATTCATTGTTGATCTGAAATGCAAGTTTTATTGGGCATCCTGTATTTGATTTGGCAAATCCACCTACTCATCCTTCTAGCATTTCCTCCTCCAGGCAGCCCTGCCTGACCTGCTCCCGGCATATGACTCCCTTCCTCATTCCTAAGCAGATTCACCGCTCTCCCCTCCCTGGGCCCAGAGCACCTGTGGAATCTTCCTTACAGAACTTTCATCCACGTTCATAACTGTTCACTTCTTGGTCCATCCAGCATGACCGTGAGCTCCTGGAGGTCCAGGGCCTTATCTCATTCTGTCTCACCCATCTTGCATCCCTAGTATCTAGAACAGTGCCATGTGTATACTGAGTGTTTGATAAGGCCCAACATCCCAACAAATGAATACATATGTAGCTGAGAGAGACAGACATGTGAGGTATCCAGGCTGGTGGGGGCACTACACTTGTGCTTTGATTCCCACTGGGCTTCCTGAGAACAAAGACAGTAAGTTAGCATGATCACTCATACAGTTCTCTTGGTCTTCTGGAAAGGAAAGCCTTTTCCAAATCTGAATCCTAAGGGAACTGATCATTGGCAGCTCATATGGAGTGTGGGGCCTCTGTATTGGCTCTCCCCATTCCAGGGTGGCCCTGTGGACAGATGACCTGGCCCATTCACTTCTCTCCCAGGGCCTGCACCTAGTGGGCTGCTCAGTGGAGGAAGGGAAGCAGGTGAGGTGGTGGATGCAGTGGCCAGGTCTGGGAGGAGTGCAGAACTTCCTGAACAGCCTGCCTTAGACACTCTTCCCACAGTCCCGGACACAATGCTGTCTAAAAACAAGAGCTGGCACCTAGAAGGCTGGGGTCTCTGGAAGCCTTAGGTGGCACCTGGGGGTGGGAGTAGGGAGAAAGAGAAGACAGAAGAGGGCTTTGCCGTGTGACACCTATTGCTGGGTCCTGGCTTTGGGGTTCAAGGCTTGGCTGGGATGTCACAGAGCACAGATACAAGCCTTTAGGAAACCCTTTCCCCTCTGGGAATCCCAGGGAAGTGAAAGTGAAGTGGCACATGCTTCGGTGACTGGAGGCCCATAAATCTGCCGGCATGGCTGCGGGGAGGGCAGCGGCCCAGCGCCGGACACATTCCCCAAGGAGCTGTGTGCATGTTTACCTAACCCTTCACAGCAGTCGCCAGAAGGCCCACCACCTTCCTCAAGGGTGGAAGCCGAGAACAAGTCAGATATAAATGAGGTGCAGCGAGAAGAGTGGGGGAGGACCCGTCATCATGCTCCTGCTCCATACTGAGAGCCTTCCCTGCTCCCTAGCTCTGGTAAACTCAGCCTCGGCTGTGGAAGCCTCACCTCCCTCCCCGTTTCAGTGCTGGGGAGCCTCCTCTCCCGACTCCACAGCCTGAGTAACACAGCTGCCTCTGCCATCTGAGGGGCATCACTCACCTGGCTGAGGACAGAGACCCCTGTCAAGTAACAAGATGCTGAATTCTTTCCCAGTTTGTACTATATGTATATTGTCCCATTTGGGCCTCAAAGAGCCTCTGAGCTGGCTGAGAAGTTCATTACTACTACTGTTAGAAGAAGACACAGAAGCTCAGATTGGTGGAAACTTGGTTAGCAGTCCAGCCACCAAAGCACTCTAGTGCAAGACAGTCTCAGGTCTGAAAACAGTTCTTTGGATTCCAAATCTGTTACTTTGCACCAGG